AAATTGTAGATTACAGGACTCACTCACCAGTCAGCATGAAACTGATACATTGTCGGATGGGGATGGAGGAAGCATGCTGGGGGGCGGCCTTGGCCTTTCTTGGGCCGTCGGGGCTTTAGGCCGTCACCACCTCGGGGGGTTGTACACGGCAGCCACCTTTTTTTTGGGTAGCTGGTGACAGTGACACAGAAGAGCCGGTAGTAGGTCGTTGGCAAAGGACAGGGTTCCAACCAGCAATTCACCTCATTAATCGTACCTTGGAAATACTGCTTTAAGGGCAAAGGCGAGGAGAGACCTAAATACTGTGGTGGTTTTCACAAGGCTTCATGGTTTCATTTTCATTCGTTGTCTCCTTCGTATCATCTGCTTGCTGGCACAAAAATTCTTCAATTTTTCAACTAATTCAGCCTTAAGTGGATGCTTGTCCACATTACATTTTCAAATTCATCAGAATTGGACAACCACTAACAAATTGAGTTGGCTCTTAAGGAGAATAGTGCAATAGGCCAAATCTATTTGAAGTCCTAGTTTGTTTTAGTTAACAACACGTCAGCACATGCGGAGTCAGTGGAGAATTAATGTTGCAGGGCACTCACGTAGATCATCCAGGGCCTGCTAACGGCTCTTTGAGGGTTGTACAGCACAGGCAGGCCTCATGTAGCAGGGTGGAGTCATCATGGGCCCATGTCCTCGATTCTTGCTCATATTATGGGAGGGTTCATGGGGGAAGACTTGGATCTTCTTAACTGCTGACAGTCTGCTTAAGAAAAGAAGGGTGTTCAGGTGGGTGTCAACTAAGCAGTAGCAAAAAAGGATCAATAATGTCCTCCTCTCTCCCTTCCCCCCAACTTTTTTTTTTTACTTACAGCACCACCTTATGTTTCGCTGGTCACTTTTCCCCCCTCCCTGCTCTGAATTACGCTTTTCACATAGGACTCCATTAGCATCCACCACAAAAGGCTGGATGTTCTTTGGCATCAAAGCTTGTTCTGAGCCTTCAATTCGCCCTTTTCTGACTTTCGGAGGTTAAGGAGCAGCCTCCCCAAAAATGCGCCATCTCAGGAGTCGGAACTCATGGGCTGCCGGCGTTGATTAGATGGCAGCTCAGCACTAGTGTACCTAGGAGCGGAAGAAACAGGAGCCAGATGACTGGGAGGTTGGGGGTGGGATAATTGTTCTCGTGCATTCACCTTTAACATGCTTTATTCTGTCATACTTGTTTCCTCACTCCTGTCTTTTGGGCACCACTCCTGTGGCACCCTGACATATCAAGCTCAGGTTGATTTGAAAGTCCTATGTTGGAGTGCTGTAATTTTTGTGACATTTTAAGCCTCTATTCCATTCCTCTAATTATTTAAAGCCTTAGCTTTGCAAAAATATGGGAGGAATTAAATTTCAATCAGGCAAAATTTGTGCATGCTCCAAGGCCTATGCTCAGGAATCTTTTGCTTGTTACTTGCTTGCTTTCTTTCCTTTCCTGTTTCCAAACCACCTTTCCTCTTTTTTCCCCACATTGCATGATTATTACAAAGAAATGGAAGAATCATTGGTTTCCAGTGGCCTTTACAATCTAAATTGAACCTATTAAAAACTCATAATATAGGTATTAAGGCAAATCAAATTATTAAAATTGATATAAAAAGTAATTAAAGTTGGATGGTGAAAAGTACATCTCTTCTTAGGACATAAGGGCTAAGTTTAAAATATCTAATAAGTACATAATCCACCTCATAGATATTAGTACCTATAGGGGGAAAAACAAGGACAATGAAAGTTGAAAATCTAACAGCATAGAATTCTGTCCTGATGTCAAAATTAACTCCCTATTCATTGCGTTTTAAATTGCTGTGAAAAGTCAGCAGCATTACTTAAACCAAAAAACAACTTTTAAAAGATCTCTGGGAGGAAAAAAAAAGACATTAGAATTATTTCTCTTTGTTTTTAGTTGCATGTTTCAACATTACTAGTTGCTGTTTCTTAAAATCATGCTTATTGCTTTAGTCTATATATCTCTTTCAGCTCGACCTGTATCTTCTTAAAAAATATCAGGCTTTTAAAAACTTTTCTGGAACCATGGATAGCCAGTGTAAAATTTCAAGGCCAAGAACTTAAATAATTTTTCCCACTGGAAAAAATAAATTAATTGTAAGATAAATAAGTCCTGTTGCTCTAATGGCAAGGACGGGATAAGTGACTAGAGTAAAAGAAGGTGACTTCTGTGGAGCAGGAGAGGGAATGGTTGTGGAAAGCAGTGTCTTATTTGCCAATGAGAATGACAACAAAGACGATAACAACAGCCAAAATCTTTTATAAGTTTTCCAGAAAAAGTCTTGATCTTTTGTCATCAGCATTAAACTTCCTCTCAACTTGAAATGTTAGATATGGAATTTCCTACATACACTATCTCTAAGATCAGTCTTATCTGTAAAAGTCTCCTGATACAGTGAAATTTAGACATATTTTCAGGGGACAGATATTGGAACATTGAATCTTAGGGTTTTTTTCTTTGAAAGAGAAATGTTACTCTATCACATTTTTTTGTTGTTTCTATGTTTGTTTTCACACTAGGCAATTCTGAATTAACAACATACTGCCGCGGAGAGATTACTATAATGCACTGTATTCACGAAACACAGAAAGGTTGTTCCTGCTGTTCTCATCTCATATCTTAGATCAGTCGTTTTCCAACTTGTGGGCCACAAGTCCCCAAGGAGCCTCAGGTTTGTTCGAAGGAGTCCTTGAATCCATGCACACAGTGATAATTGCCTCAAGTTTCAACAAGCAACATTTCCACACAAACACTATGTTTTCTGTCCTTTTCTAAATGAATATATATAGCTACTGTATTAAATAAAACACTTAAAATAATTCTTAAAAACAATAGACTTTCATTATTATGTATGGTCTTAACATAATGCTAAAAGTACCTGTCTCAACATGCACAGTTAGAGGAGGTCCATTGAGTCTGTGGAGGACTCCTTGGAAACCACTGACTTTGATCATAGATGGCAAGAGCTGGAAAGACCTTAGTCACCATCCTCCTCATTTTACTGATGAGGAAAGTAAGACTCAGAAAGGTGAAGGGTCATTCAGTGTCACAAAGTTGGTAAGTGGCAGTGCGGGGACATGAACTCTGTTCTCCTAAATCTAGGTTCATTGCTAATTCCACTGCAACACACACACTATTGCAAAGTACATAAAAGCTAACTGGCTTCACCCAGGCGACTAGAATCAGTGGGAAGCTGGGATTGGCACCTAGGAATTTTGACTTCCAGATCAATACATTGTTGATTTTACATGTGATCTCTCTGATAAATTCTTATTGGTGACATTGGAGTCAGTAGTTCATATTCAATATTACATGTGATGGTTGCATTCTTTTTGAAGTTCTAACAACATGTGAAAAGGAAGTTTCATTAAATTTTGTTTGATTAAATGGCCTGAAAGTCATTATTTTATGAGAAGTCGTTTTAAAGAACAGCCACTCCTTGTATGCTATTCCCAACACTAAAATATGAAAAATAATGGTAGCTTAATAAGATGTGGCAATATAGAGATCCCTTATTCTTTACAGTGTAATGATAAATCACTCTTACCTCTTGTGTTACCAGATGAAGAAGGTGGCAGGCTCAAAGCAGACAACTACTGTCGAAAGAAAAAACAAAGAGAATGCAAGATTCTTTTTTCCCTCCATTTAATCACAAAATACTAGTTAGCTATATTGTGTCCATGTCATCCTTAGGAATATTGGAAAGAAAAATAAAAATTTGGGAGATAATAGCCATCTCTCTTAAATGAAAAATCATTATCATCGGGCATGTAAAACTAGCTAAGTGTTCTTCCACGAATACATACCTGCAAGAATTTTGAGGAAGGACAGGACAGAGGCATCTCAGCTCCACTTTTATAGAGACCATTCTGCAAACACAGCAGCCACCTCAGCTGTCTTAGCTGGGAACCTACTTGGCAAAACCTTTTTTGGCAATCTGTTTACACGATATTTACTGACTGTGGCTGTGAATGGATATAATTAGAAATATTTCTTGTCGCCTATAAATAATTTGACAGAGGATAATCTGGGGCTCTCTGAAGGCATTTGATAGGGGATTGGATTCAGGGCTTCTAAGGCTGTTTCTCCAGCTTGACTCTTGTATCATTCATCACAGAATTCAAAGCTAGATTCTCACTATTCTCTTGCCTATAAAATTGGTCCACAGATATGGCCTGTGACGATGGATGGAGTTTTAGATTAATTGATTGTTTAGTGCTAGAGGCAGTTGTAAGAGGTCTGGAAATGAATTTAGATCCAACACTGGACTAAAATCAGTGGAGTGACAGATATTAAGATGGAAAATTCCTGCCATTGGTCTGGATTTGAATGAAAGACTGGTGATAGATTTCTTTAAAGTCTGAAAGGTCTAAACATGAAGGCGACAAGTGAATTCTCAGATTAGGCCAGTGGTGATGGACCCAGCTCGGGGGAAGCAAATAAGAGGTTTAGAATAGATATAAACACTCTGTTGCTTTTCTGGGAGACTCCATGGATATCTCCAGCTTCGTGGGTTTTCACTGAGGGAACAACCAGGGATGCTGTGTGACGCTTCCATGCATGTGTCACTGGCATGTAGAAAGGAGGCGCACATCATAGCGTCATTTCAGCTAAGAGTCGTGGGCAAACCGCCGTTCAGGGAGTAGACAGTATGCTATGTGTGCTTGCTAATTGAGGGGTGGGTACTGTATATTCTTTATATAGGTGGAGGAAAGACATGGTACTCCAGCAATATTCTCCCTGGTGGATTGAAAGATAAGTGCGGTTATCTGACATACTATGCCCGATAATACTCCTAAATGGGGTTTTGGTCGTTTTGCACGATGCAAGGAAATGTGACGGGAATCTCTATTACTCTAAGTAGAATCTGGATGCATTTTTTTTGACTCGCTCCTTGAATATTCAGGAGC